AAACAGGCTCCTTGGACCCCTGTGCAAATCCCATAGGCCTCAGGCAGGCCCACCCTCTAGACACTAGGCCTCCCCAAGGGAGGCCGAGGGAGCCTGGGCTGACTGTGACCTCTTAGGGTGACACTGCAGATACACAGATGTCCTTTCCAGATACTTGGGTGAGAAAAACTGCTTTGTGAAATTTGGCATCACAATTCACACCAGCAGATTCCAAATATGCAGGCAGGAACTCGGTGCTCTGCTCCAACGGGCTCTGGGGATCATAGCTGAATGAGTATGCTGCAGCCTCCTGGAATAAGCGAGGCCCTGGAGCAAAGCCAAGAACAAGGCAGGTGATGATTGAGGACCTGCAACAGTTGTGGGAAGGTTTTGTCCTAAAAGACCCCATCCTTCTGGGGTTGGGAGGAGACAGAAGCAGCAGGTACCAGAAGTACTAATGTTCAGGGGAAGGATGTCCTAAAGGAACTCTGCAGTCTTATGGACCCCACCCCCTACTCCAGCTTTCTGGACTCTACACCCTACTCCAGTGATTGGAAACAACAACTCCCAGCAGTATGAGGGAGAGAACTGCGAGGACCCCAGGGCGGAGCTAGCAGGAATTCTGGGGCATTTGCGGGGATAAATAGGGCTCAAGTGCATCTCTGGCTTTGTCGCTTGGGAAATGGCTCTCCGGACCGTGTGACTAGGTGTGTTCAGTCAGCCTAGCCATAGGTATTTCAGTGACTTTGTACCCCGCTCTCTTTCCCTGGGTTGTTTTCTATTCCTTTCCCCTTTTGTAAATAAACCTGTTATTGACCCTTTTGTGTGTGCCTGCAGTATAACAATTGTGAGCGCACAGGTGAGGCCCCACAGACAGGCGGCCCAGTCCACTCTGGGCTACCTTGTAACACTAAGAGCGCAGGCCCCAGGATAGTCCTTAGACCAGGACCACCCTTAGCACAACTGGATCTCAGACCAGCCCCAGGGGCAGATGAAGCCAGGTTGCACCCAAAGCCAGAGCGACTTGAAGACTTGGCTACCAGGGCAGCATCAGGCAATGCCCAGGGGCAGAGCTGTGGCTGCCGGATGCCTCTCCTAGAGCCAGAACTGGCCTCAATTCCGGTAGGGCCTTGGTGTGCCAGCAGCAGCCTGGGGGCTTTTGGGGTACACAGGAGTGGGAACAAGTCCAAGCAGGAGCAGAGGGTTCGCCCACAGGGCCTCAACTGGGTGTTTGGAGCTCTAGCCCTGCCACTTACCTGCTGTGAACAACTTACCTAATAGTGGACTCAGCTCCTGGGTTCTTCAGCCATAAACTTATGAAACTGCCCTGCCCTGCCTCTGCTGCAGAGTTGCAGGGTATGGCAGCAAAACTGACATCTGGGAATGCCCATCCAGAGCCACGGTGCTCTGCTGACCCACAACGCTGCGTATCTTGTCTCCATCTTACCGTGACCCCTCTCTCTCCTTCCTGGAGTAAATCATCCATGGCCTGACACCAGGTGTCAGCTTGGGTGTCACAGGGGCTGAGATGACCCTCCAGAGCCCAGACCTCCCATCTCCAGTTCAACCACGGAGCTTCACCCTGGGAGAGACAGTAACAAGTCCATGCCGCTGGCCCAGGAACTTGCCAGCCATGCTGGAGCCATGCAGTCAGTCCTCAAGGAGGCCGTCTGGTTCCAGGGCATTCCCTCCCAGTCCCTCCTTCAGTCTCCTCCTCAAGGGCAGGAGCCGCTGCCTGGACACGCATGCGCCTTGTTCACTCCAGCAGCGGCCCCACCTGCACTCACCATCACTCACTGGGTTTGACTCTGACTACAAAAGTGGTATCAATTCACTTTAGGAAAGTAGGAAAAGTTCAAAAAAAGCAAGCAGAAAAACACCATTAGTATGTTGGCATATTTACTTTGCCTGGCTTTTCACTTGGATTTCTACCAAATTCCTTATCTGCCTAACTCATGAAAAATTCCATCTGAAGTCTAATTGCCCCTCCGTGAATCCCACTGTGAGACCCTGATCCCGAGGTCCTGCCTCAACCCTCCATCCTGTACAGAGCTGGGGGGAAGAGGGCACCAGGGCCTGGCCAGTCTCCAGTGGTTAAACTGTAATGAGGACAAAATGCTAAATTAAAGTCTACTGCGGAATGAAAGTGTGCGTAGCTGGCATTTGGAAGCAGCTATGATGAGACGCCCTCTGGAACTTGGCAATAAGATTATGTGAAGAGTTACAATAGCAGAGAGCACAGACAGCAGATGAGATTTGAAGTCACTTTGAGGAAGTCACTTTGAAAAAGCAAGCTATCTTTTGTGAAGGAAGGGTGCGTCTGGAACGCTAGCGAAGGTGATTCACCTGGAGGAAGCAACAGTCTAAACAAAGCACTGAGATATTTGCAGGAAGGGGTGTGTGTGTGTGTGTGTGTGTGTGTGTGTGTGTGCGTGCGTGCACACGCATGTATGTACCCACGTGTGCACACTAGAGGAAGGAGGTCTGTGTGGCCCACAGAAGGGGGGGGAGGAAAGGATGCCCGTAGGTGTTTCTCCAACACTGGGGAGCAACCACACTGGGGAGGGAGGAGCCCCACGTAGGCACGGAGGTGGAACATCCCCTGCATCTTCCCAGGGTCACAGGGTCCCCTGCATCTTCCCAGGGTGCACTGCCTCACAGTGCAGCTCTGTCACTGAAAGCCGTGGGTGGCGCGGGGACGATGCAGACAGGGCAGGCACAGGACCTGAGAGCCGCGGTGGCGGTTCACACCTGACTCCCACAACCACCGCTGTGCCATAGTGGGCAAAAGTGTTCATGTCTTGAGCCCTTGATGTGTGAAACTTTCACAGAGGGTTGCTCTGAAGATGATGTGTAGAAAGCATAGAGGTAGCTACCGAGCTGCAATTATTAATAGCACTAGCAGTGATATTATCACCAGGATTGATAATGAATTTATTTAGCAATCCCTAGTGAATTATTCAAGTAAAAGTCCTTCTCAGAAGCTGTTCTTTCTTGGGTATGTTGAATTTAAAAAAGAAGGAGTCCCAGGTTTTGCCTCCTGAAACCTGGTGAACTGAGGGGTTGCACCTCTAAGAGCCCACAGGGCTCTGTGGCCAGGGCTGTCTGGTGCGGCCTGTATGCACCAAACACGACGTTTGTAACTGTGTGAGAAATACATGCAGTTTGGGGGTGGGGGATAAGTCTGGTTTATAGTTAACTAGTGCAGTTAACAAAAAAAAAAAATCTTATTACTAAAGGTTCTTGGAGTTATTAAACAATGGCCTTAGGTGTATATTACGGATAATAATACTTACCCATACTTCATAAAATTTTTATAAAGCTTAAATGAGAAAATGATATAAATTAGTTGTTTCCTAGCACAAATTAAGTGCAATATAAATATTTCACATTCTTCACATGTAAGTTTTGTTCATCTTGTGTTGTTAAGTCAAACAGAACCTCTGCAAAGGGGAAGGGGAAGAATATTCCAAACTCCAAAATACCAGATTTGTGCCGGTACAAAAGAAAAAAAAAATCACATTTATTTTACAAGGTAGTATTTTCCTAAAGTATTCTACATAAAGGAAAGGTGAGCTGTCGGTAGGAAAACAATATAATCTTAGGAAATTACAGAAGGTCAACATTGTGTTTCAAATAGACAGGTTTAAAAAATAGCATAGTAAGTGAATATTGCAAGGTATAGACAGCTTTAAAAAGTGTTCATGAGCATGATGATATAGCAGCTCAACATTAAACCTCTAGCGATGACTTGCTTTCAGACCTGCTCAGAATATTAAGAGCACTGCTTCAACCTTACAGCAAAAAAGAACTCAAAGCACTAGCAGAAACAGAGCTCTCTTCCGATAGAGTCAGCTCTCAATCATCCATCCTAAGGAAAGGAGTGACGGGTAGAGTTTTAAAAGGCATATCATTCCAAAATTAAGTTTGCGAAAGTGCCCCTTGTATTTGTGTTTGGATGCGAGGAATACTGCCTCTCTGGAATTCTCAGCACTGATAAAGTAAGTAGAATTCTCACTTTCTTCTCCCCTTCTCAATGGAGGGACACAGTCACAGACCACCGAGAAGCCTAAAATACACTGGCCTCTTTAATTCTGGCTCATGCCTCCTTTAGAGGTGAGGGGATAAGAAAGATAACTGTTAAAGTATTGTTTTCCTCATGTAAAAAAACAAAACATTAATAAAATTTTGCAAACAAGGTAAAATAATCAAGAGTCAACTCTATAAATATTATTTTAACTTGTGCTTTTATTTCCCCTTACCGAGTATTATTTGTATCTCCAAATGGATCTGGGTATTTTGATGGCTTTCTAAATTATCTGGTTGCATCCTGTTACCCAAGTAGCAAAATTTGCATGAAATAATTGTTATGATTAGTCCCTAAAGAACTGTGATGTTCGAATAGGCCAAGAAGGGGAGATTATGAAATCAAACTACCATCTCCGACATGGAGTCACATCCTGTATCACCTCCAAAAAGGACTTCAGGAGAACAAGTTCGTGGTCAGTGCTGGTTCCTCCGTCTCTATTGGATTACCTTGTACCACAAAGCTCCGTTTTCCAAGAAAACAACTGTTTTCCTTTTGGGGTTTTCTCATTTTAAATCTTGAAAATTATAAGGTAAAAAATACCTAGATTAGATTATGAAGCCTTATTTGTTCAAATGCTAGAAGCGTTTTAAGTGCTTTGTCATTCCTCAGCAAAGTCATGAGCAATTTGAAAATTCTAAAACAAATTTTGGTTAGATCTAAATTCCCTTATCTTCTCCCTTCTACTCAAACAGGTTGAACATCAACTTTTAAAAAGTGGGGATGGTGTGGTGGCGCAGCGGGTTAAAGCACTGAGAAGCTGAAGCCACTTCCGCATGAGTTCGATTCCCGCCTGCCCCGGGGGTGACCACATGGCGTGACAGACCTCTCCTGACCCGCCCGCTGCTCCCCTCAGCAGTGTACTTCGTTGATCTGCCTGTTCTGCCCCCCACTCTGTCTCTGGTGAAGCCTCTCGCCGACCCTGAGCCTCTGGCCTGTACCCCAGTTCTGTATGAACAAATAAATAAATCTTAAAAAAAAAAAAAAAAGTGGGGATGGTGCAAGGCCCCACGAAAGCCAGGAAAGCAGTTTCTCCAACCCCACCACCCAGCCCTTTGCTCCAAGAGAGCAGACAGGTCCAAATTATCAGCTGTACAAATATTAACCAAAAAGCTACTGACATGATTGTGTTTGATGTCTATAGTACATATTGCAGTCTAAACATTTTCTAAAGTGCCTATAAATATGCTTACACAAATGAGCAATATAATATTGGGATTACAGAGAAATTCTTTTATGTAATATAGAACAGAATAGGCCTACAATTTATGATGAAAGTACACACAGGTTTATCTCCCTTATCCGTTGCTTTTGGAATACAAGCAAGAAGAAATATATCTGATTCAGTCGTGTATGATTTTCAGAGAATTATATTGACTGTGCTAGGATAAAAAAAAAAATTCTTGTTTGTGCTTGTTTAGAAAGGGCTATTTTGAGAGCCAGGAGCATCTGATATTTAGAATCCAATAAACATCTCCATTCTATAAAGTAGGTAACACTAAGTGACGTTTAGTGAATTTTTAATTATAAAGAGATTGTGCAAATATTTAAAGAGATTATCAACCATTATAACGTCCAAAAATTCCATTAAAATTGTGGCTAGTCTGAATGGCAGTTCAGGAGGTTAAAAAACAGAAACCTAGGCAAGAGCCGCAGACACTGATACAGGCTCTGGAGGCCTCGGTGGCCTCCAGTTAGTTCAGTGGGCAGGAAAGTAGACCCTCAAGTAGGGCACTGTCAGGAACAGTGTACAGAGGGCGCTGGCGCAGACCCAGGGCGCAGTGAGCTCACCCTGAGTGTAGGGGTAGGCGGTGCCAGCGCCCTCGAGAGCTGGCTGCAGGCCGTGGGCTGTCCGAAGCCTCTGGTTGGTCTCTGTGCAGGGACAATGAGCACACAGGCGGGCTCACCAGCTGTCCCCAAGCCACTGGGGCAGGTCAGGTCGGGGGGCCCGTCCCTGCACCCCGCCTCCACCTTCCTTCTGTAGCCTGCAGTTCCTAGAGTTCTTCTCAGCACATTCTTGGTGTGACTTCTTGAGACTTTCATTTTAGTAAGTGAAAACTTCATGCTGCATTCTCGTCTAACGCAGAAAAGCTTTGACGAACACTGTGTTCAAAGGAATACACATGTTCTGCTTTCTAAACCCTGCGATGTTTTGGGCTCCTAAGCCTAACAGAACATTCTAGCCGATCACTTGAACTACACATAACCCTGGGGAGGCAAGTTCTGCCGGGAGTGACTGGCAAAGGCTGCCAAGCGGAAGCTTCGGGAGGAAAAGGCCAGGCCTCTTCTCAGTTCCTAAGACACAAATGAGTGTGCCATGGAAGAGGCGTGCCGTGGGCTGGTGCGTGCGACGGTGCCACAGAGCGGGCACGTGCCTCAGGACAGAAGAGTCTCCCCGACTGACGGCTCCCGGCCCGCTAGGTCATATTTTACTTTTCCTGAACTGTTAACTATGCCTTGTTGAGAGCAGACTTGGAGAAATGGCAGATAACCGACTCACACAAGAATATCCCCTATAAATGGAGATTAGAAGTAAAATTTTGAAGAGCCCTAAATAAGAGAGAATTAGTGGCTATTTTGTGTGCATGAGAAAAGAAGACAACAGACTATGACTATTACTGTAGTAAAGTGAACGGATATTACACAAAATATTTTCTCCTGACTTAGCAGCAAACTATTTCAACTGCTATTGCATCTGCATAAAAATCCATGCATCATACTGAATTCTAATCCATTTCTCACCTAAGCCATTCTAATGCTTCATACAACCAAATGAAGCAGAGTTAATCAAACCTATTAGATTCATTCCTAATCCCTAAAGGACTGCTGTCTTTAGCATTTCCATGCTAACTAAAACTATGACTGGTTTATTTTCTCTTAAGACGTCGATGTGGCTGCTTCCTAAATATAATTAATACCTATGTAACTTCCAAAAAAGTTCCCCAGGCTTGAGGAACAACTACAAAAAGCAGGGAAATGGTGGGGGAACCCACTTGAGGGGCCTACTCAAATGCTGCAACCCCGCCCCAGCCAGGCCGGGCTAAGCGCTACCTGCGTTACCTCCCCCACCACCCCCACTGGACTTTGGGCCCACTCTTGGGGGTCCACAGTGCCCTGTGCTCGCTGGAGCTGGACTGAGCATGAACTAAAGACGCCCCCTCTTCTTAAATGAAGATCTAGTTCAGGCCCACGTCATGAAGGGTTGTGGAGACACTGGTCATCACCAGAGACCAAGCTCGCCTCCAGGAGCCTCTGGAAGCAAGCCAAGGCGACACGGGCCCAGAACGAGTGCCGGTGGGACGGAGAGGGGTAGAGGGACGCACGGCAGCAGCCAGGGCACACTCTGTTCTCTTACGTGAGCTGGTTCCCAGAGGGCACAGGCTGGGCAGGGGCTGCCCATAAAACCCCCCGAAAGGAACGCCAGAGTGTTTCTGTGAAGAACTGGCTTTTTAGAAAACTGTCTTATTCGCTCTGGGTAGCTCCTCAACCTGGTCAATGATCCTCTGATCATCACTTCATCCCTTTCAAAGTTCCCACTGAAATTAAGGCTGGGTCACAGTTCATGACACCAGATGCTACATAGAAAGTAAGGTACAAAAGAAAACTGTTCATAAGAAAAGAATGTCTTAGTTATAAGACTAATTGGAGAGTGAAACTAATCAGCAGACCACTGAACTGCTATGGGTGTGAGGGGTAGAAAATACCAACGGCATCGGAAAAAGGATCCATCAGACAAAAGTACAAAAGCTCCGTGGGGCTGGGAGCGGGGCTTCCGCCACCTCACACGGTGGTTTCTATGGTCTCGATCACTTCCAGGTCAGACTGTGAGGGGGAAAGAAGGGTGCACTCGTCGGGCTCCCAGCTGCTCTCCGGACTGTAATCTTCCTCTGAACTCAGTTCTGCTCCTTCTTCCGTATCCTCATCACAAGATTCCACATAGTGAGCCCCAATTGCATTGATCCCAGAGTCCTCAGAACTTGAGGGAGAAGAGCAGTGATCTATTTTTGGCGTATTGCTCTCTTTTGAAATTAAGGCATTGTGTGCAGAGACCTCCTGGGGGCTCATTTTGTGGGAAGGTGGGGCCAGCTGCTTCTGCACATAACACATCTTCCCATTAATACATTTAACCTGGTAGTTGTCGATAAAGAGGTCTGAAATCATACAGTACCTGGGAGAATCTGGGGGGAGGGGAGGCTGGAAGACCGATGCAAATTTCAAAAAGTGTTCAGTGAGTGAGACTGAAATCTGGATGGTGTTTGTGGGTTCCCGAGGCTTCGCAGGAATCTCAGTGCTTGGAAGCTGTTCCACAGGGGTCATAGGCTGATACACGTATTTGCCTGGGGGGAACACAAAACAGGTGATGGGAATCTAAGTATGATACAAGTGACATAACGCAGCCCTGACTGGGTTCTTTTCTGAAGACTCAGAATGTTTTTTAAAATACTTCAGTAACATCTTGAAAGCAGTAACAGAATCGCTCAACATTGTTATATCAATTAAAAATGAGGCATGATGCACAAAACCAAGGTGTTTTCATCTAAGAAACTCAACACACTTTACAAATCTTCACTTATGTTTGAGACTGCCTGTGCAGCGCTGGGTGGAAAGTCTAAATGCTTTAGCCATCATACTAGAATAAAGAATATCCATGATTTGATGCATAAAGACACAACTTATTAAAAAGAAAAATTTAAATTGTAATTCCATTTTAATCTTCAACCATTGTGTAATGTACATTTGCATACTGGAGGATACATTGGGATACATACCAATTTACTATGAAACACAGTTTGGATCTCTGTATTTGACCAAAACACACGCATACACACTTAAATGGGTAACAGCCTACAGGGCAGTGCTTGCCACCCTCAACGTCAGAAATGGGAAAGGTTTGGGGTGTGAAATACCTCTTTCAAGACCCAAAATTCATCAGCAGCCTACACAGATTTCCTGGCACCAACTCTACTGGCACTGTGCAATCTGAGCTAAGCAAAAGCAAAGGACCAGTATATGTGGTGTGACCTTCTAAGTGTTTCTAGGAAACCTTATCTCCAAGCCTCCTCCCCCACCACCGCTCTGAGCTCTGATCATAAAGACCTAATAGTCTAATAAACAGATAAGTAAAAACCCATCATAGAGAGAACCTCCCTGCATAGAACCCCCAAGTACTGGGGCATGATCAGCTGAAGGGGAAAAAAGGTAGACCTCCAGCTTCCCCTCCAAGCCCCAGCATTAGAGGCTGGGTGGAAACTCAAAATGTCCAGTCAGGAGCCGAGAAGGAACCTGGAGAACTCAGGGGGCGACTCCCTTCAGCCCACAGAGTGGTGCGCAAAGTACTCAGAGTGAAGGTTTGGTTTTTCCTACTGGCTGGTGGGCTAGCGGCCCCTAAGTTCAGGGGCTGTGGCTAGCAGCCGCTCAGGCAACAATGGCTGTAACACCGATTAAATTCTTCCTAGGCAAAGCGAACTGGGGTTTAGTTACCACTTGCCGCAGCCACAGCAGGGTCCTAACAATTGATCCTCAGACTCAGAGGGCTCAGGGCAATACTTGGTCCAAAGATGGAGGGAATCTAGGAAACTTCCCGAACCACCGTTCCTACTCACCCATCTCACTACCCCCCTCCCCCCAGCTTTCTCACTACCCCGTCCCTTTTTTCCCTTTCTTTGGGCATAATTTCTTTGCTTTTCCTCTTCTTCTCTATCCTACCTCCTTTTCTTCTCTAATCCTCTGACCTCCAAAGCTCTTTTTTTCATCCCTGAAATATAGTCAAGGAAATAGAGAAATAGAGCAGGGAGAGGAGGATGCATACTGGTCCCAGATCCCATCTCCTTCTACAGGTTACATATGTGCCTGCTCAGAGTGAGGGGGGCAGCCCGATGGGTCCAGATGGGGGGTACATAGGTAGATGCAGATACCCAGAAAGCATAGAAAAGAAAAAGACAGATGAGAAACAAGTTTAATGAACATCTTTCAATTACCCATTATATGATAATATGCTACTTTATTTGATTATTAACTCAAATATTAAAACCATATCTGGATTTAGTATTGTAATGAATCCAGAGAGGTTAGTACTTTGCTCCAATCCCCATAACTTCTACTCTATTTCACTAAACTATGAATGCAGCTCTACAAGATGCTGAATAATCAGAACAATTTTACTATGTCTACTCTACTGTACCTACCAAGAAATAAAGTGTACTAACAGTTTTGCAACAGGAAGGGTTGGAGCAAAAAGGTTTCTGGCCACTGAAGCCACAAAATTCAATAACCACTAAACTCTGGTCTCTGAACAATCCTCCTCAGGAAGGAAAGAAATAGATGGGAACTCTTAAAAACTTACAATCTCTAAACAGAAAAGGTACTCAAAGAGACTCAGGTCTTGAAAACGAGCAAAATAGGAGAGTAAAAGAAAGCTCTAGCTATCATAGGCTCCAGCAATTACACTTTTGGGGATACACCCCATTCAGAATCTTGAAAAAATACTCAACAACTGTGTTTTTAGCAGCATTATTCATGATAGCCAAAAAGGTGAAAGAAACCCAAGTTCTACTAATACTTGATAATGGAACAGATAAACAAGTGTGGTATATACACATGACGGAATATTATTCAGCCTTGAAGAGTAAGGAAATCCACGTTATAACGTGAATGAAAAGACAAGCACCAAATGAGTGCATTTCCATGAGCCAACCAGAGAAGGCAAATTCATAAAGACAGGAAGGAGAACAGCACCTGCCTGAGGCTAGGTGGGAAGAGAGAATGAGAAGTTGTTTAATGAGAATAATTTGTTTTGCCACATAGAAAGAGTTCTGGAGATTGATGGTGGTGGCAGCGGCTGGACAGCAATGAGTATGTGGTTAATACCCTCAACTACACACATTTGAAAATGGTGGTGACTTTTATATTTTGTGTATTTTATAATTAAATAATCAATTGTTATAAATCGCTATATTAAGAGACTGCAGGGGAAACTGCAAAGGATTCAAAATACATTCTGAGTCAATTAAAAAATAAGAAACCAACCCAATTTTTAAAAAAGGGTGTGACTACTGAAGCCAATACGAGGGTCCCTGTGCCGACGGGAAGGCCCGTGATGTGGCTGTCACTGCTGCATCTTGGTTATGAACCAACTAGTGTGTTGCAAAAGTGGTTAAGGAACATGGGATCTCTGTGTTTTTCTTCAAACTGCAAGTAAACCTCTAATTTTGTATATGTAAAATATATTTAAAACAAGTAATTGACACCGCACCCTTTTCAGTGCATTACATCAGGAACACATGCTACTGATCTAGCCATTAGATGTTAACTTTGAACCCTTGTTTAATATAGTATCTGTCAAGGTTCCCCCACTGTAAAGTTAGTATTTCTCTTTGAAATTACTGCATATTGTGTGAAGAGATATTTTTAGACTACACAAATATCCTGTTTTTCATCCTGCTTTCATCTACTGAGTTTAGCATGCATAGGTGGCTCTGGTGTGCGAAAGTCTTTACGGCATTTGCCAAACACTGGCTTTCTATTTCCATCCCCTTGTTTAATTAGAATTGCATGTGAGCAAGAGCTGCTCTTCTCCCTCATTTATTTGTGCAGGTACTTACTTATATAAGCTTGGATACATAGATATTTTACTCACTGAATTATAATCTGCTACCACTGCTACTTATTTGGTTGCTCAGCTTGTCTCAGATTTAGCTCTTAGAAGCTTCTTCAAGTCAGCTCCTGTGTCCATTCAACATGCCCAAGCTCCTTTTTTCCCTTTCCGGGAACTTTCTTACTTTCTGGCACCAGAAAGTGTCATTGGCTCATCCTCTACTCGCCTTACCCATTTCTCCAAGGAGCTTTCGTTGTATCTAGCTCCTTCTAAAAATTTACACACATTCTTCAGTTTGGTCTTAAAATAACCCTGTGAAGTCAAATCTTAGTTTACTAATGACTCATTCAATCACTCATAAAACTCACCCATAGCAAAGTGAAGACAAAACTTCACACAGTATTTAACACTCATGTTAAAAATAACATCAAAATAAAAATACACTTCGCAAACCCATTAATCTATCTGCACTCTTTTCCAAGGGAGCTGAAACCACTTTCTTTTTTTTTTCTTTTTTATAATTATTTTATTTCTGTTTGATTCTATTATTTTTTCTTTTCCCAAAAGTTTATTTTTACATCATTTTGCACATTTTTTTTTCCATCTCGATTGTAATCCCCGCGGGTTTCCCATCACCAAATCACCCGTGTGCCACCACCATAGTCCCGTGCATTTCCCTCCCTCCCCCCATTTTTGATCCCATTCCCCACTCCACCCCCACAAAATGTCTCTGGTACATGGTTGTTCATTATTTTTGATATTTTCTCGCCTGGTCCATTATACTCCTGCTATGAGTGAAACCATCCGGTATTTTTCTTTCTCTTTCTGGCTTATCTCACTAAGCATGATCTTTTCCAGCTCCATCCAAGTTGCTGCAAAAGACATGTGTTTCTCTTTTTTGGTTGCTAAGTAATATTCCATTGTGTATATGTACCACATCTTTTTTATCCAGTCATCTACTTTTGGGCATTTGGGCTGCTTCCATGTTTTTCCAATTGTAAATAAAGCAGCAATAAACAATAAGTTTATTGCTTTTTCAATCAGTGTTTTTGTGTCTTTTGGGTAGATACCTAGGAGTGGGATTGCTGGGTCGTAGGGAAGCTCCATGTTTAGCAGTTTGAGGAACCTCCAAACAGTGAAACCACTTTCTTAATCGTCAACCTGATTAACAACATTGACTAAGATCACAAATATTAACTATGATCAATAACTGAAAAATAAATTTCATATATCCCATTTTTCTTCAGGGAACCTTAACACTTTAACAAGTGGTTTCTCAACTAAAGACCAGGCAAAACCGGTAAATAATTCCAGTATTCTTTTAAAGTTTTGGTTCATAATTCTGTTTGTGCTTCCCTTTGGTGTTTAACATTAATATACAGTACATACATTCCTCACAAATCCTTGGTAGGATACTGAAAATATGTATGCCCTCATCCTGATTCTTCAGAGCAGGGGAGAGAGACAAGAGTAACTACTTTCGCAAGCTACTTTCGTGACAACACGGACATCAGTTTTAGAACCTAGATCTTGTGACATCCTCTGTTATTTGCCAGGTAGTTCATTAATAACTAGGTTTAGATCATGCTTTTATCAGCTGACAGTGTCATTCTCTACCTTTAACTTCAGCTAACATTCCAACTTGTAACACAGTGTACATACGTAACAGATAGACTCCATTGCAGGAATTTTTGTTTGGCTTTGTTGTTTTGGTCATAGAGTACAAAGGGAAAAGGAAAAAAA